TTTTCAAAATGATATAATAAATGATCTGTGGGGTATTTTGAGCTGAAACTTCACAGACACATTCTGGGGACACCAGAGACTTATATTACATATTGTAAAAAGGGGCATAATATGTCTCCTTTAAGTGTGCGCCAGCTCTTTAACATTACAATGATATGAAGGTAGAAAAGCAACTCACGTTCAAATTACTTTAACAACCCTCGAGTCTCAAACACCAAAAATCTTTAAAAATCAATTTTTAGAGCAAGTATCAAATTCTTTTTTTTAGTCATGTTTCATATGGTTTTGTTTTTTAAAACCATTTTCAAGAATGGTTTAAATTAAAATAAAGTATACATGCATTTATTAAGGAATAGTTTAACCCAAAATTTAAATTTACTCACCCTAAGGTCATCCAAGATGTAGATGAGTTTGTTTCCTCATCAGAACAGATTTGGAGACATTTAGCATTACATCACTATAAAAACATCACAATAATCCACAAGTAATCCGCACGACTCCAGTTTAACAATGAACATCTTTTTTCTTCATGATATTAGGACTGTTGTATCACCCTGACATTTCTGACCTAAGGGTGAGAAATATTTTAATTCAGACATCAAAAACATGGTCAGCATGTCATATTCTACACCTCATATTCAAATGATCGTATATGTATGAATTGCATTTGAATGTTTTGAACAAATTCAGACAACAAATGAGTGTTTATGTAATTGACCTAGATGTTAAACTCTATTTTTTGTTTGATTTTCAGAATCCTATCACCTATGCTGAGATCACATGACAGTGAAAAGCCTACTAGCCAGAATGCTGTGGATAATGTTGCTGCTCTCCAGTGCAACTTTTTACTTTGAGTGCAACGTCGATATGTGCTATTTTTACACTTCTATTTTCAAGTGTGTGGAAAAAATATCGTCTATACCTTGTCCTCCTTTTAACTTTTTTTTTTTTTGGAAAATAGTTAGGGTAGGGTCGCATCCCTATTTTTATACAAACATATTACTGTTATCATTTTTTGTGGTTGAATATGCAGGGTATTGTGTGAATGTGGAATTGCAACTTGATGTCCAATGAAATGTTTAACATATCCTAATGTACTATTTACAACTTTGAGTCCATTGTTAAATTTTGAAGAGGTTTCTGACTGACAATAATTACTGTTGTTGATCCTCAAAGAAATCAGGTTCTTCTTTTATCTTTCTCCCTGCCAAAACATATCACATCAACACATTTACAGAGTTTTTCTTTTCAGAACAGCAAACTGTTCCAGTGTTGCATCAGATGTTATGCTATGTATTTCTAAGCATGTTTAAATAGCCAATAGGGTTTAGTTATGTTACAGTCATGAATTATGATTTGCTACTTTCTAGTTGAGACAATATTGGGTGAGGGACATTCTCATTCTAGAGAGCATCTGATTGGTCAATACTCAGTGTAGTACAGGATGAGTCATTAATATTTTGCTCCGTTTTCTAGGAACATATAGGAATATATTTGCAAATACATGGTCTCGATGGACTTTAAAAAAAAAACTTTTTTGATTTCACAGGGTCTTTAAAGTGGGCTGATGTGAACATGAGGTGATAAGCAGAACTAATGATTGATTTTGGTGTCATTATGGCAGAGAGCACCTTGGGCAGAGTTGATGAATTTAATTGTGACTGGCAATTGATTACAGGACTCACAAAAGATTAGATGCTCAAGCTTTTGCCCAAATAGGCTGTAGGATGTGTATGAAGGATCGCTTTGTGTGCTTTAACATGGCCAGTGTGTGTGCGTTTATGCTTATTTGTGAGTCTGCCCTTGATGTCGCCTCTGTGAGAACGCAGTCTCTAGTGACTTAGAGAAGGCCATTTGTTTTCTCGACAGAGCTGGAATAATACCTGTACCTGTGAAAAAGCAAGAGATATGGAGATGGAAAGAGAAAGAGGATGGACCTTCATTGAATAGAAAACAATGCATCTTAACGAGTTCACACAGATATATGGCAATATTTGCATTTGGATTCATTTGCGATTTCACAATCATATGTGTTTTTATTGTATCATAGACCTCATAGCAAAGGTCTGCAGTGTTTGGTTGAATCTATATTCTGCAGAGTGATTTTTTTACACCATACTGAGCATATGTTTGATCTCTCACTGACTAGTGATGAGATTTGATTTTCAAATTCATGCTTGAATACATTAAGTTTCTCCTAATGATGTAAATCATTTATCCAATTCATCTCACTCGTGTACTACTACTGAACATCCTGAACCCTTTTATGTCCACTGTTTGTCTCAGTTGATTCTTTCATCAAGGAAAGCTTGTGAATATAACTTTTTAGAGAGTTTTTGGCTGGCTCACTGAGGGGTTTGTAAAGAACTATTTGTAAAGCTGCTTTGTGATTGTGAAAGTGTTATATAAATTGAATTTACAATTATTTAGAAAGAGTTACTGCATTACCTGCACATTGATTTTAATTCAGTGTTATTTCTAGTGGCAGACAGATTGTGTTGATGGTCTGGCAATGACCTCAGTGACTGAACTGGAAAGGAAAGCAGATCTTCCCTGAGTCCCAAGATGTCAAACAGTAATAAAATATTTACCCTCACACTCACTGTCACTCTGTATCTTTTATGTATGATGACTATATAAAATTCTGTATTTTTAAAAAACATTTCCTTAATATTTAGTTTGAAGATACATTTTCTCATTTTAGATTTATAATTTACTGTTGTGTAAAACAAAACAAAACAAAACAAAACAAAACAAAACAAAAAACTACAATATCCATTAAAACAAAACAAAAAACTACAATATCCATTATATATCTTATATATGCTTTTGCATTTTGCATTTTTTTTTACTTATCACCAGAAAGTTGAATTATTTTTTATTTATGCATGTGTTATATTGTTTTTAATATGACAATGCCTAATGAATAAAAATAATTACCTGAATTGCCTGCTACACGATAAAGAACGGCATGCAGAGGCTGCATAAACACTTTTGAGTGATTATTCCTGAGAAACATAAAAGCTACTCGATTTAGTTCACCAGTTCAGGTGGAAATGAGTTTTGAAGGCACACCGGAAGACAGGTAAGCTTATATTGTTTGGTTGAGCAAATTGGTAGACATCTTTAGAAGTCATTTGCAACTGCATTTAGAGTTAAAAAGTTATTCATTCAAATTAAATTAACTTCTCAACTCTGTAAGCATTTTGGTTATTCTAATGAGGTTTAAAGTAGAGGCGCTATGAATTTGAATGAGAACCACATTTAACTTTATGTGAATACATTGGTGTATATATCTTTACCAAAAAAAAAAAAAACCTAATAATTATAGGGACATGATGTTTTTTACATCACTCAAAATATTTCATTGCTAACAGCTTCCTGACAGTAACAAACATTTGCATCACATGTGCTAAGAGATGTAGGAACTTGTTGTTTTCTTGAATGTAGTTATTCTGTGTTTGTTCCAGGTTTATCAGTTCTCTGGTCATGTACAGTATCAGACACAGAATGGCTGGTCCAAGCATAAGGATGCTGGAGTTCAGGGGTCCTTACGGACTTCCTGCTTTCATGTGTGGTGGGTGAGTCCCAGTGCATATGCCTACCACCTCCCCTCTGCCCCATTTACAGACCAAGTCTCCCATGGACAAAATGTAAATTAAAAATACATTGGATGTTTCGAATGACATTTCAAGAACTCTGTACCCAGGGGGAATCTATCTTGATTTCATTTCTGAAGATTTCATTCAGGCTTCTCATAAAATGAATTTAATTCAAAGGAAGGGCATCACAAGGGCATGAGTCATTGTCCAGATAAAGGAATGCAGAACAGTGTGTGA